CCCAGCCTTGGAAATGGCATCGACACCAAGGTATGGCCGAGAGCCGTGCGCTGCAAGCCCAAGCACAGTAACTTCAACCCAGACGAAGCCCTTGTGGGCGTGCACAATGTCCAAGCCCGTCGGCTCGGTGACAATGGCAGCGTCGGCTCGCCATCCTGCGGCCAAGACATCTTCTGTGCCGATGCTCATGTTCTCCTCGTCAGCGACGCCGGTGAAGATGACGTCGCCGCGCAAGCCCAGTTTCTTTGCGTTTGCGAGCGCGACCATGGCAGCTGCTACCCCGCCTTTCATGTCCTCAGCGCCGCGGCCATAAAGCCTGCCGTGTTGGATTTTGCCACTGAGGGGATCGCCGCCAAAGCCACTTAAGGTGACGGTGTCGATGTGGCCGTTGAAGAGGAGACTCTTGCCGCCGCCTGAACCGCGTGCGACGCCGACTACTGATGGGCGACCCTTTTTGGACTCGATCCAGTGGGTTTCTATATCGCGATGCTCGAGCCAGGCGGTGATGTAGCGGGCAATGACTGTCTCTCCGGGTCCTGGGACGGAGCCGAGCGATGGGTTGGCTGAGTTGATCTGGACGAGGGTTTGTGTCAAGGGGACGGGGTCTTCGACGGACACGTCGAGCGGGACGGGGTATTCTCTGCTGGCTTCCGTGCAGAGAAGAACGACGACGGAGTTTTCATTCAGGTTCAAAGAGGCCTTGTCGGATGCAGTCAATCGCCGAAGGGCAGCTAGAGGAGCAGCACCGCAGGGGCCGGCAGAAAGCCCCAGAGATTGGAGGTAGAGAACAGCCTGGTGCGCCTCGAAGTCGGAGACTGTCACGCTGGCGTCCACGCCTGCCTTGAGGAGTGGCCAGGCAATGGAAGATGGAGTACCACAGTCCAAGCCAGCCATGATGGTCGGAGTGGTGGACTCGGGAGTGAGCTCGCCTCGCTTGAAGCTCTTCCACATGCAGGCTGCGGTGTCGGGCTCGACAATCATGACTGCCGTGGAGCTGCCTTCTCTCTTGAAGTGACTGACGACGGCCTGGGCGAAGGAACCGACTCCGACTGGTGCGATGACGAGATCGGCGTGAGTGTCTTTGAGTTGTTGGTCGACTTCACGCAGCATGGTGAGATAGCCGTCGACGATCCACTAGATGAGGTCTGGTTAGATGGTATTTTCATTGATAAACAGGAGCAGTGCCAACCTGGGGGAGATCTTGATAGTCATCAAAGGCAAAGTCTTGAATGAGAATGCCGCCTTTCCGTTTTGACGCCTCGTAGGCTTCTAGAACGGCCTCGTCGTACGTTCCGGAAGAGACGACGACAGTTGCGCCCTCTGATCGAATGAACTCCAAAGTGCTCTCTTCCATTGTCGCAGGCACGTGGATTTCCGCCGGAATGGAGAAGACGGCACCCATTCGAGCCACGGCACGACCATGATTACCATCTGTAGCAGCGAACAAAGAGATGTTGTGCGAGGCAATCGTCTCCTTGACAGTCTCGATATCCGAGTCCAAAGGCAGCCCCAGCTTCAGGGCAATGGCGCGGAATGTTCCCCAAGAGGCACCGAGGATCTTGAACGATGGCATGCCGAAGCGGTTACTCTCGTTCTTGAGGTGGACGGCACGAACGCCGATTTCCTTTGCGACTTGGTCGAGAGAGACGAGGTCAGTCGGCCGATAGTCTGGCAACTGTTTGTGGAACTTGTCAACGAGGCCTTCGTCGACGGATGCGGATGCGGTCCATGACTGAGCGGAGGGATTGAAGTAGACGGCTCGACGGGTAGCAACGGGAATCTTGACAAGAACCATGGCTTTTGAAGAGGCGAAGTTGTTTTGTGTATTTGGATGGTGATGTTTAATCACTTGATAGGAGATTTTTGGGGTTGTCAAGGTTTCGGGCAGAGGACTTTCATATGAGGAGGAAGCATTCAATGTAGGAACGAGAAGTTGTCTTGATTTGGTGCGTAAAACTCTTCATTTATAGGCCATCATGCGGGGATTATCTGGTCAACTTGGTGAGGCGCCTTCTCCGTACATTGGTGGTTGTACTGCGCGATCCACCACGTGTAAGTTGTCGAGAAGGCGTTTGACAGAAATGGTGTTCCAAGGAAGGACGCTAGAAAGGCAATGGAAGAACGGAGTTTCGACGACAAAACTGTTCAACTTTGGTATGGTGTTGTTAAGTCTAGACGGTTGGTACTCGAGTCACCAGTCAAGTGATGAGGGGGGTGACTAAGCCAAAAGTTAATGGATGATTTGCTCCAGTTCGTCCGCTACGACAAGCGTTGGACTTTGATCTTGATGCTAACATCACGCAGAATCACTTCCACTCACTCGATCCCTTCAACGAGACGAGCCATGGACTGGAGCTCTTCACAGCAATTCGGGATCGACCTGTCCATCGACGACCTCTTGTTCTCGGTCGGCAATGACTCAACCATGGCCGTGCCCTTTGAGGCGACGGACGATATCATGGCTCAGTCTCGCAGTCCTTCAAGCGAATTGAGTGCGACGAATCTCAGCCCTTCAGTCGGACAAGCGACAAGCTCTAAGAATATCCCGACTGATTGCAGCGGGATCGACTGGCAGGCCAGCTTCGAGCAGGCACAAGCCGTGAATGTAGCTGCGGGGTCATCGCCCGATATACTGCGGCAGCAACACCACGAGACGGACTTTTCCTTCTTGGAGCAATCTGGAGGGGACATGGAAATCGATACGACTCACGCACTCAACCAAAACACTCAAGCCCCAGCCCTGACAGCCATCGACGAGTTCTTCATCACAAGAGGCGCCCACAGACCCCCCGTGCCCTGCAACCACTGTCGCCGCCGTCGCTTGCAGTGCCTCATCCTCCAAACGACCTCAGCTAACCCTAACCCTACCAAGTCGTGCTCCAGCTGCGTCGCTCTCTTCAGGGAGTGCAGCCTCTCCGGCCGCGAGAAGCGCGTGCCGTCCAACTTTGAGACGTCCATGCCCGTCATCGGCCACCTGCATGGCGTGAGTGAGCAGGGCAACTCGCTAGAGCGACTGGACGAGGGACAGCCGTCTGGTCGATCCGTGGCGAGGACTTCATCTATATCTACCTTGTCGAGCAAAAGAACGAATACCCGGTCTGTGAGGAAGACGCGGGCGTTGAGGAACTGGTTCTCCAGCCACCTCGACCATCCTTATCCATCAGAGGAACAAAAGGTCGCTCTTTCGAGGGAATCGGGCCTGAGCAAGAGTCAAGTGGTGAACTGGTTCGCCAACACGAGACGACGACACCGGATTGCCGCACACACACAGAGCAATCAAGCTTCTCGGGTCTTCATGCAAGGATCACCAATGCCGCGCGACTTGGGCATGTCGCCGATGGAACGATGGCGAAACTCTCCTCCTGACGAAGAGCCGGTTTCAGCGAGTGCTATCGAGCGCGCTCTCTCGACGCATTCAAGCAGCGAAGGGTCTCTAGAAACCCACGACCTGAGTTGGTTGGATGGCCCGGCATCTTCAACAAGCACCGAGTCCATCTTCTATCCTAATCCCAACTACAACGACGCCTCATCCGGGTCTGCATCCTCATGCTATTCTCAAAAATTCACCCTCGAACCCTTTGTTCCACCACCTCGCTCAGCCAACAGCTCGGCGGGCGAAGGCACGTCACGCTCCCGACCAACATCATCCAGAGGGAAAAACACAAACTTCCAGGGCTTCCAATGCACGTTTTGTCGACAGAGCTACAAGAAGAAGTACGACTGGGTCCGCCACGAACGATGCATCCACCTCCCGGGGCTTGACTCGTGGATCTGCTCCATCCCCGTGCCGGCCGGACAGTCGCATCTCGTCTGGCGCGTCAACCAGAGCAACCCCGAGTGCATCTTCTGCGGGCACGTCTCGCCGACCGACGAGCACATTCGCTCGCACGAATTCGACACATGCGCCGAGAGGCCCGTGTCAGAGCGCAAGTTCACGCGCAAAGACCATTTGTGGCAGCATCTGCACAAGTTCCACCGATGTCGCAAGTGGGAAGGCTGGAAGCCGGATCTGAGCCTGGTTCAAAATCGGCAGGACGCAGTGCGAAGTCGCTGCGGGTTCTGCCAGCTGAGCATGAATAGCTGGGAGGAGAGGATGGATCATCTGGCGTCGCATTTCAGGTCGGGGTTGACTATGGAGAGTTGGACAGGGGGCTGCGGGATTGAGGATGGGGAGCACGACGAGCTGTGAGAGAGGGAAGCTAGAGTCATTGTGAGAAGCCAACTCACACTTATCCGATATACGGAATCTAATCTTCGCTCGTCATTCCGTGTCAATCTCGATTGATGACTCCGCCGTTCACACGAGAGTGGAGAGAGAGATGCATCAACGGCCCCCAGAAACCACCCACATTATTACCCGCATAGCTGTGACCAATCCCCCAGACAAACAGGTTTGGGGTTGAAGCGAGTGGAGTGTCAAATGTTCACAGCTGATCAGGAGTTTTTCAGAGAATGAAGAAAAAAATCTTCTCACAAGGTTCCTGGGTGTTGGCTCATTATGTTTCTTTTAGGTCATGGTTTGCGGTATGTTTCGCCCCAGACCCGAAAGCCGATTGTCATATGGCGTGACGCCGTGTCTAAGCCGAGACTGCGAGATCCGAAGGCGAATCATCAATACGATTTTTAATGAACATGGTCAAAGATGCTCAGTCGGATCTCGGCTTCATAGAACTCGACGACGACGACGGCGACGACACGGGGACCTTTGCTTGGAGCGCTCGGTGAACTGACGGAGAAAACACACGACATGTCTGCGCTCTCCACAGCGGATGATCGAGTCACACCGTCCTTTTCGAAACTGGATTTCAAAGCTTCATCAAGCTTCGACGTAGGGCGCAGGGCCAAGCAATATTTGCGAGCGGTTGCGAATATTGTATCATGGGGGTGAGTCACGTATGTTTATAAGCAATCAAGGTCCCAGGCTATTCCGCACTAAACGCTCCTTCCTGGCGGAAATATAGATCGATTTTGCGGCCACTTCATCATCCTATCATCATTAGGGCAAGGTGGCCGAGTGGTTAAGGCGGCAGAGTTAAGATCTGCTGGAGCGATCTTCCAGGGTTCGAATCCCTGTCTTGCCAATTTCTTTTTTGCTGCCTCTGAATCTGGAGAGCAGATCGGCTTGTCATTATTACGAAGTACAAGCAGTTTGAAATGCCGTTGTCGGGGTCGTACACTGACAAAATGAGGCTGGTTTGTGGTCATGCAGAATCCATTTGCGCTCATTCCGCCACTCACAAGCCAGCTTCCACTCCAGCAGTTAGCGCTCCCGCAAACCGCAAGAGTCGACGTTGCGTTGCCGCGGAATTAGGCCCGGAGATGGGTGTTGGCTGACGAGCTGCAAGGCGTAAAGGTGGGTGGACTGCGTGGGTAGGGCGCGAGAAGGGCGCTGGAGACGATGAGGAGATTTTTTCACCGATGGTGGACAGGGAGTCAGGGACTCAAAGGGTCGTCTGGTGCACTAGCTAACACGGGGCCTAGCACGTTGCTACGCCGCGCCCTCCTTGGACATGATGGATCGGCTGTTAGTCACTCTGTCTGCGAGATGGAGATGGATGGAGCAACCACATGGCCTCGTCAAATGTAGGGCGTCGACACCATTTGTGGAGACGCCCCGTGGAGGGTTGTCAACGGGCGTGCAAGAGGACTCGTCATGAGTAATAGAAACGGTCAAGGCTGAAGAGCCTCTTATAAGTTGAATGGGTGCCGCCGGTGAGTTTCTGCATATCATTGTATCCATTGTGTTGTATCTCGCAGCCTCGTCTCTTTGATGCTCCCCCTCTTGTAGCTCATCTACAACTTACACCACTCCATCTCACTTACACGACCACCACCATGGGCGGCAAGATCGATCTCCTGCAGCAATCCCGCAAAAGGGAACTGCAGATCGACATCGACCACCACTATGCCTCCAAAGTCTACACCACCGGCTCGCCCATCACCGGGACCGCCACATTCACGCCGCGAAAGGACACGCCCTTTGAGACGCTCCGCATCAGCCTCGCCGGGCTTGCGAGGGTCCGCCGTGACGACCTCGACTACCCCAAGATCGCAACCCACTGGTTCCTCCGCACCGACATGTCCGATGCTGAGCTGGTCTACCCGGGGTCCAAGGTGTTCCGCGCCCGCGAGTCGTACACTATTCCCTTTCATTTCATCGTGCCCGATCGTCTCACCACAAACGCTTGTAACCACAAGGTCGACGTGGGATATGTCCGGAGCCACCATCTTTGTCTGCCTCCCAGCATGGGAACCTGGAGCAAGGACGACATGAGCGTGGCCTCGGCCCGTGTTGAATACGGCATCCAGGTAGACATCGTCACCCCGTCGAGCAAGAAGGGACAAAACAACACCATTAGCAACAAGCACATCATCAACGTCATTCCCTACGCCGCCGAGGAGCCGCCCTTGAACATTATGCCGCTCAACATCCAGTACAACATGCAGAAGGACAAGAAGATTCGCAAGTCTCTCATTTCTCCCGTCGACGGCCGTCTCACCGCCGTTGCCTCTCAGCCACGAGCCGTCAACCTTGACGCCGATGGACAAAGCGCCAGCGAGTCGACCGTCCACATCAACCTCGAGTTCAAGGCCAAGGGCCCAGGCGTCTGTCCGCCCAAGATCGGAACCGTCAGTGCCACGCTCCAGGCGCAGACGTGGTCGCGCCAAAGCCCGAGCCTGAACTTCCCCAACATGGGACTTCTGCGCGACGCCTACACAAACTACACGACCATCCTCTCGAAAGTCCCCGTAGAAGGGTCGTGGGAGACGGAGCCCGAGGACAAAGAGACGGGCGCGGACTCGACGTCGCATTCCGCAACGGTGCAGGTTCCGTTCTCGCTGCCCATGGCCAAGAGGCTGTGGATTCCGACGTTCCACAACTGTCTGATTTCGCGGACGTACAGGATGGAAGTGGCGCTGGAAGTCGGCAACACGACGCTGCGCTTCAACGTTCCCGTGCAGATCGCCATGGAGTCGTTGGATTTCCCGCTCGAGGCCGAGGTTGACGGCTGGACGCCCGACGACTTTGGGGTCATGGAGCATGCGTGGCCGGGGTGGACGGGACGATACTCGTACGGAGACTATGGCCCGCGGGCGTTGAGGGCTGTGGGAGGGGATGTGTTGCCGGGGTATTCTGCGTGAAGATGGTAATGATGGTGTGGAAAGGGGCTTTACGTGTGGCATTGTACGGCGTTTGGGCGGCATGGACTGGGGGAATACCCTTTTCAACAAAAGTTTTATATGTCAACAGAATATTGTCTTAATCTAGTAATCAAGAAACGACTCTCTATTGAATCATAGGACCAGGTCCTTTATCAAGATGTTCCCTTCATAGTCCACGGCGACATTGGGACGTTCATCTCCAAAGTGTCGCCGTGTAGCTGATCCTAGCAACCAGACCCTTCGCCGCATACAGGTAGAACCATCTGCCGGTCAACACAGTCAGAAAACTTAGTCAATGATGAAGAATAATGATGCCAAGACTCACCTGCCACATATCAATAATGACATACTTCCCTTTATCCGCACCCGTAGGTCGTTGCAAAACCCCCGTAGCAACCACATAGTTCAACCACTCATAACCCGGATGTCCAGTCTGGAACGTGCCTCTCAACAAGGTCCTCCCATCAGGCTGCGTCGGACCAGCAGTCTGGATAAAGATGTCGGCGCCGTCGTTCGTCCTGAGGTTATACCGCGTATCCGGGAAGAAGACGCCCTTAGTATCCGTGACGCCCCAGTCGGCGCCGAGATTATTGACAGTGCCAGACATGCGCGGGCCCTGGAATGTGCCGCCAGTGATGGGAATCACGACGCGGCTTCCTTGGCCGTAGTCGCCGATTTGCCATCGTTCGCCGAGTGTTGCGTTTACTGTGTAGAGGAATTCGAATGATGGTGCTCCAAGGCGCTGAGCAGGAACGAGACTCGCCAGCTGAGCAAGGGAGAAGAGCAGGGTTGTCGATGACAGCAACATGGTAACTCGGATGAAGAAAGATATTCTGCTAGGGCAGTGACTCGAGTTCTCTTCCCTTTCATAACTGCGAGCTACAAAACAAGGGATTTAATAGTTCAGCATCAACAAGCCCCAGCAATGACCGCGGCAACAGGAGCAGAGGCTTGCGGAGACATCCCCGCACGCGGGGAGGGGATGACGGCAATTCTCGAGTGGAAGGCCCCCGAGGCCCAAACTTCATTATCGCGCAGTCACATTTCTTCTCTACCTAGTTGGAGTCGAGATTTCATAGTCAACTGCACAGCAGACTGTCTTACAACCTACAATTGCTTCTTTTTTTTCTTTGGAAGTTTGTCATGTAGTTAACTATACCTACCCCTGCAATCACTCAAGCATCACCGCACAGTAAAAAGAGAACTGGGCAGATGGATTTGGGAATTCTACTTCGCACGTTGAGAACTGTGCTGTTGCGGTGCATCATCAGTCTCCAAATTCCTTATTGATAATGCGTTGATAATGGTTGCTGATCTGGGAGCCAAGCCGCAAATGTGCCGCTCAACCACGGCTTCAGGTCTTCGAACAGCGCTTTGTGCATCGATGATCTCCATGTCCGGTAGTCTGACGTGCAAATGTGCTGCTGCCTGTGACTGACGGGCTTCAGAACGGCACAGGTATACACCTCGAAGGAGGGGCAATGAAACAAGCCACGAAACGAATACACAGTCTCACACCTCTCGTTGAATCATTACATGTAGATAATAAAAGTATGGACCTTCAAAGAAGCTATGTATGTACAAGAAACGGCGTCGTGCCACAAGAGAGACTCGAGACGATCCCTCTCCTCATCACTAGAGAGATCATGTCCAACTCGTAGTCGGCCTCACCAAAGTCTCAAGAGTCGTCGACTCCGACCTCTTGGTAATCAACTCGGGAAACGCAGGAAACCCACGCACACGCAGCACGTTCGCGCCGCCGCTCGAATCCAAACAAGCATGCGCGTCCCAACACCGCTGCTCGTACCAATCCGAGCCCTGCTCGTAGTACTGGAACACATCGTCCGTGAGGTACTGGTCCGAGAACTCGCACTTGTCGTACTGGGACCGATATGTCGACGCCTTACACGTGCGGATGGCTGCGCAAATGGCTGCGCAGTCTTGCGGCGTCTTTTGGTTGGGGAACGACCCGCGGTCGGCTTCGTAGGCGTACATGTACAAGCCCAAGTTGCCGCAGACGTAGCTCGAGTCGACGTCTGCGGGGACTGCGTAGCCGGTTTCGGCGCAGGACGTCGTGGTTGTCGACGCTGCAGACGTCGTTGTCGACGAGGCCCTGTTGTCCAGGCAGCCGTGGGCGTCCCAGCATCGCTGCTCGTACCAATAAGACCCCGTTTCGTGGTAGAAGAAGACGTCGTCGGTAAGGTATTGATCGGAAAACTCGCACTTGTCATACTGGGCGCGGTAGGTGGAAGCCTTGCAGATGCTGATCTGAGAGCAGATGTTTGCACAGTCCTCGGATGTCTTTTGGTTGGGGAACGAGCCTCGGTCGGCTTCGTAGGCGTATCTGTACAAGCCGAAGGACCTGCAAACGTAGCCCGAGTCAACGTTGGTGGGAACGACATAGCCCGTCGAGGTGCAAGCCGTTGATGTCGTCGCTGGAGCGTCTAGGCATGCCGTAGGGTTCCAGCAGCGTTGCTCGCTCCACGGGGAACCGCCCTCATAGTGGCTGAAGACGGCATCCGTGAGGAATTGGTCAGAGAATTCACACTTGTCGTACTGTGCACGATACGTAGAGGCCTTGCAGGTGCTGATCTGGGAGCAGATATAGGCGCAATCTTCTGCAGTCTTCTGGTTAGGGAATGCGCCTCGGTCAGCTTCATAGGCATACATGTACAAGCCGACAGACTCGCACACATAGTCCGACTCGACAGTATCAGTGGCAATCGCATAACCCGTCGAGGTGCAGCTTGTGGACGTCGTTGTTGGAGTGATGTTGTCCAAGCACGCCTCAGGGTCCCAACAACGTTGTTCGCTCCAGTACGAGCCGCCCTCATAATGGCTAAACACAGCATCCGTGAGGAGCTGGTCGGAGAACTCACACTTGTCGTACTGGGCACGATACGTAGAGGCCTTGCAG